AATTAAGGTTATTGTAATTTATCTACCTCCGAATGATGCAGAGTTGAAAAAAAAAATCCAAAAAAAGGTAATAGAGAAATACATACAAAGATCACTATCAACCCAACTAGTGGTTATGGGCGACTTCAATAGCATCATCGATCTAGACCTCAACAAGTCAGAAAAAGTAATGGCACTGGGCAAAAGGCAGCAACACAAGCTTTTGTGATTGCACAAGTGGTTGTTAAATCAAAACTTCTAGGACTTATATAGAGTGATAAATCCAATAGCAATGAAATTCTCATGGTCAAATGGAGCAACGTCAACGAGAATTGACCAGATCTGGATATTTGAGAGTTTGGTATCAAATGTTATATCAGCTAATATAGAAGATATTAATCATTATACTAAAAGCGATTACAATATTGTGCTAGTAGAGCTCAGAATAGAACAATTAATCACATCACAAAGCATAGCCTCAACAAAGGTTAGAGCCCAGTTTAGGACAATTTTCTTATATGATAAAGCAACAAAAGATGACTGGAAAGAATATAGAGAGAAACTTCATTTCCAGCTTAGAGAGAAGATTGACCCACAACTACTCTCTAATGTACCAGAGTGGAAAAAGGTTGATTTAAATTTAGCTTGGGAAATAATATCAAACAGTATTCTAGAGGCGGCAAACCAGTCATTACCAAAGAAAAAGATTTACAATACACTGGCTAACAAGAAGAAAAAGGTGATTAAGTCACAGATACATAAAACAGTAGTCAAAATTAGCCGTCTAATTAACAGAGCTAAGAAGAACATAGGGTCAAAATAGTTCGCAAAGAAAGAAATACTATAAATAGAATATTAAACTTGGTTAATAAGAAATACCATACGGAAATTTGTAAAGCGGATGAAACATGGTCCATCGATTGGGTTGAAGACACCAAAGGGTGGTGGCGCATTTTGTATAACAAATACTTAGCTGAGCTAGAGAAGGACAAACAAAAACAAATTGAGAAGAGTGTACAGAAAAGATGTGCAATGATCCAGAACAGCTAGAGAAGAATGCTCTGCAGTCTTCTCGACAAACTATTTAGAAAAATAACAATAGACCGTCTGCTATGCCAAGAGAACACAAAAACTAAGCTAATTACGGACCCAGTTGAGGTTTTAGCTATGACTAGAGAACACTTCCAAGGTCAATTTAGAGAAAGGAAAGTGAATATCCAAAATATACTAAATAATTGGAAAGAAATCTATGACCCGATAGAGAGAATAAAAGAAGACTGGTATGGAGAACTAATACAGGCAATAGCAGACGAAGAATGGGAAGCCATGCTAAAAGAGTTAAGAATTAATACAGCGCCAGGTATCTCGGGGATCAGATATGTTCTGATTAAGGCAGCAGGCAACAAAGTTCAGAAGGTTTTCAAAAACCTGGCTGAGTGCTGTATTAAAAGAGGTGAAATTCCAACTAAGTGGAAGTTAGCGCAAATATATCCAATTCCTAAAGATACAAATTGGAACTATTGCTTGAGCAAAGTTCGGCCAATTGCCTTGCTCGAGACACTTCGGAAATGCATTACAAAAATTTTCACCAGAAGGCTTTTCAAGATTCTAGTCAATAAAGAAATCCTTATAGGTCCAAACTATGCTGGCCTTCCAGGTGGATCAACAGAAACTCCTATACACATAGTCAACTCAATTTTGGAAGATGCAAAGGAAAATCAAAAAGAAGCCTGGTTGTTGATGCAAGATATAAGAAAGATGTTTGACTCGGTATCGTTACAGATGCTCGATTTGGCACTCCAGTGTATCAAAGTACCAGTAGAAGGAAGGAAGTTTATTTCTAATTTATTCTACAAAAAACATGCAATAATTATTATGGCAGCAGGGAACACTGAAGAGATGAAACTGCTAGACGGCATAGAGCAAGGAGAAGTAATTTTTCCTTTGCTGTAGCATATATTCTATGATCCGTTATTGTATAGGATAAACAAAGAGAAGAGCTGGGGCTACACAATTAGCGTAAAAGTACCAACAGACTTGCAGTTTAACCACTGGTCCGAAGAGCACATAACCCAAGCAGCAGTGGCTTTCGCTGATGACACGACATGGATAGTATCTTCGAAGAAAAACCTTGAGGAAATTATTAAGGTGGCGGAAGACTTCTTTTAACTATGTGACATACAGATAAATGGGGATAAATCCAAGCTAGTTATTGTGAACCAAAGCAAGACAGAGGACGCAAGTGTCAGGATTGGTAATGTGTTAGTTCGAGCAGAGAAAAGCAATATGATAACAAGAATTTTTAGTGTCTGGATAAACAACAAACTCAAAGAATCATATATAAAGGCAAAAGTAAAAGAGATAGTAAGACAAACTGCATAGGGATTAAGGTTGAAAAAGATGACACTAAGCCAACTAGCATATATAAATAATATGTGTATAATTCCAAAGTTATGCTATTTGCTACAAACAACAAAATTGTTAAAAAATTCAATAGATATGATCCATCAGCCATATATTAGACTAGTTAAGAACAAAGCAGAGATGGTTAGTACAATGGGCAACTTTGCAATATTTCACAAGAACCTAGGCAACTACAAGCCACTGTGGCAGAGCTAATAACCAAACAGATAACAAGTTTGTTAAAACGACTCAATAGTCAGAGTATAGAAAGTCTTTTTGCAAAATTGCAAATTAAACAGGGCTTGTTAAAGGTAGGGATTGTCAAGAACATTAAAGACAGTTTCAAAGATAGTAGTCTGAAAAGATTGTGGAGAAATAATCTAGCCTGTACAACTCTATGGAATATGGCAAAGTCCAACCTCTACATCGATCTTGATGAGTCAGAGTGGGCGATACATGGTTTTGGCAAAACTATCAGAGAGATTATTGGCTTTAGTTTAATGACACAAGATTTTAAAAGTCTGCAAAAGTTAGGCGTATTCTACACATATCAATTAATCAACTCGGAAGGTTCAGAAATGATTACATGGAAGCAGATAAAGGTTTTGAGAAATATGCCAAGTAAAGGCAAAAAGGCAAAATGGTTTCAAAGCTTGGAAAATATACTGCTAGCAGACCTACTCAAAAGGGACCTTCAAGAAGAATGGCAACTCAGCAGCAGTAATGGTCTAGCAATGAAGATTTGGCTGCCTAACCTCTCCTCTGATAAGAGTAAAAGAGAATATATACTTATAGACAATAAAGACAACACACAATACTATTGAGATAGGCAGAGTTGTCAAAAAATCTAGAAAAGAAATATGGGTTGATATAAGCACACCAACAAGTTCAGTAAATGATCAGGAAAATATTAGAAGAGTGCAAAAAAATTTAATAATAGGAGCCCTGCCTAAGAATCTAATCAAAAATGGAGAGATAATAATAGACGAAGAGGAGATGATATTCAGA